TTTGCTTATTTTTCCCCAAAGAGTGAGCGTGTGTATGTGTGTGAATGCTTGTAAAGGGGGAGGGTAGGGGTTGCTGGGTATTATTTTGGGTTGTTTGCATACAGTTGTGCTACTAAATGTGCCATCTTCATACTTTGCACTCTGTATGTTATTGGTTTAAAAAATGTTCAATAAATAAAGTTGGGAAAAACACACAAAAAAATAAATAAATAAATAAATAAAAGAAAAATAGTCAGTCTGAGCACCTCAGATGTGGTGGAGCTGTACTCCAAAGAGTAGAGCAGCTTTCCTCTCTGCTGCCTGGCCGATCCGTAGCCAACGTCCCCCACATCTGGCTGCACCTGGCAGGGACCAAAGAGAGAGTCTTAATTCAATTCAATTCAATTTTATTTATATAGCGCCACATCACAACAACCGTCCATAACTCCCTCTGAGCTCTTGGAATAATCATTAGCTCCCACTCTGTGGCAGGTTTAGTTCAATACAATTTTCAATTCAAATATTACAAAAACTGTCTATTTTTCTTACGGAAAAAGAACCTGTTGTAACGACTATCCAGGTATGACTCAATTAAGCATAAATAAAGATTAAAACTGGTACTTACAGGTACTTACGATGCTACAGAATAGTAGAGTGAGGCGTCAACCAGTGTTTGGAAATGAGATCTATGGTTTGTAACTGTTTTCAATTCAATTCAATTCAATTTTATTTATATAGTGCCACATCACAACAACAGTTGTCTAACAGCTTTCCAAACAGAGCAGGTCAGACCCTACTCTGAAGATAATTACAGAAACCCAACAATTCCCACCATGAGCAAGCACTAGGCGACACAGGCAAGGAAAAACTTCCTTTTAACAGGCAGAAACCTCGAGTAGAACCATGGCCATCTTAGACAACTACATCTTAGAGAACTCATGCACAGAACACTTTTAAGATTTAGAGTTATGAAAAACTAATTTCGGGGCCCCTTTTTAATAATAATAATAATGAATTTTATTTTGAAAAAGTGCCTTTCGGGCCACTCAAGGACACTTTAGAAAGACGATCATCATTAAAACAATATTGAAAGATAAGAAAACATACAAAGTCAGAAATAAATCATAAATAAAAACATCATAAATAAATTCAATAAATGAATAAAACTGTGCAAAATGAGGGGAATGCTAGAGTTAACCCTATAATACCAAATGTATCATATTCATACGGTTTCTAAAGTCTTTTGGATCTGAGACTTTTTGCATCATTCTTTCTTCATATGTTGTTGAGGGGCCAAAGAAAGACTTAAGACTAAAAAAATCCAATATTCTTCCTATTTTTTTGGGATCAGGCTTTAAAGGGTTAAGGGTGGTGAGGTGGGTAAGAAATTTAAACACGTGGGTTTTGAGTTTAGTTTTGAAAAGATTTCCAGAGTTTTGTAAGAGATCACATTCTAAATTGACGCAATGATATTTGGCCATCCGCCTATTATGTTGGTATATTGTTCCTTATACCATTCTTTCTATTTGATATGATAACTGATTCATTTAACTGTCCATAATTAGAATGTGCCTACAGCAAAGTATTAGAGTGAGCAGTCAAACTATGCGATGTGTGAAAATGAAAGCTCCCCGGGTTAAGTCTTAGTCTCTATACGGAAATATCTAAACATCCAAAAGCTCAATATACTGAGCAACAACCTGGCAATGGAAAAACTGACTTGTATAACAAAAGGAAAACTTGAAGACTTTTATGATATTTGGTCCCCCTTCCTATATTTCATTGAACAATGTGACATGTAAACTTAATCTTTTCTTTCTTTTTGTGTAGATAGTGAGCCCTGGGGTTTTGTGTGTTTTTCTTTATTATTATTATTTTTAGGTTTTATTTATGTATTTTTTAGGGGGGTGGGGGGAGGGACGGTATTGTGTTAATTTTTCTTTCTTTTTTTATTATTATGTTCTCGTCTTGTATGTCTATATAGCAGAAATTTCTAATAAAAATATTTCGAAAAAAAAAAAAAAACATCCAAAAGCTGATCAACTCTGAGGAGCGGAAAAATGGTTCTGCTCCGCTCTACCACCAGTTCAAACACTCTACGTTCCACGAAATAGCAGCATCCTGATGAAAAATCAATATTGTTTGTTTGGGAGTGACGGGACCTGAGCCATGACAGCAAATACCTCCAAACCATGGTGTGACTCCCAGGAGATGGAAACAGCCTGTCCTCATTTGCTCTGTTTTAAAGTGCTTGTGGATTTAAAATATTCAAATCAGGATTTATTTATTCTATTTAAACATATTATGAAAAAACAAGTTTTTAATCATTTGATTATGTACATTTGGGACTGTGGAGGGCCTATCAGCAGGAAAAGTGTGAAAAAAAATGACTCGGCCATGTTTTTGTGGGCCGCCTCAGTCTGAATCCAGGAGATAAATCAGGAGGTTTCAGGAGTGGGTAGTTTCTGACGTCATTAGCTCTAGCTCATTATAATATTCCAGCCTTTCACCTGCATGTTGCCCCCCCCCTCAGCTTACTCCCCTATCTGTGGCAGACGTCGTGGTAGCGTGAGCGTTAGCGTGGTAACGTTAGCATGGTAGCATTAGCATGGTAGCGTTAACATGGTAGCGTTAGCATGGTAGCGTTAGCGTGCCGACGTGGGAACACCTCC